CCCACCTCTGTGCGTCATCAGCAGACTGGATGGATGTCTGTCAATTCGTTTGCAAAATATGTGTTTCTGGGGTTCTGTGCACCCCGCCCTCATTCTGGGCTGATGGGACCCTTCTGTAGCGCTGAACATTCTTTAGTGCCTGCTTCTGAGTCTGTGAGAAGCCCCTCAGGTACAGGTGGGGAGCTGCCCCCTCTCCAGCCCTGCCTCCCAACAGGCTCCTGCTCACAAGGGCCCCTAAGGCTCTACATTTAGCTGCCTGTGACATCCGGTCATGGGCCTCGTCTTTTTGTTCTGCAGGACACAGCTTTCTTTTTCCTTTTTTATTTTCAAATATTCTCCAAGCCTTCCTGTGGAGTTTTTGCTCTTTAAACAGCTCCTTTTGATTTTTCCCCTTACCAATGACCACATTTCATCATCGTTCCTCTTCCTGAAATTGGTGCTTTAGGGGGGTATGTTTGGGGCCCCCTCTGCCACCAGAGCATTCAATATCATCACATGGGCATCGGGAGCCTCCATGCCCCTCCACAGAGCCCTCCTACTCCAGGGCCTGTCCCTTTGGAGAATGAGCCTACTTCCTCTCCCCTCTCTGTGGATTTGGAAACTCTGTATTTGAGGGAGCTGCCAGGTGTCTTAATGAAGAGCTGTGCCTAGGTATCTAGTCCAGATAAGAGAGTTGGTAGTCGGAGCCAAGAGAAGGGCGCTTCATACCAAGGGCAGAAGTGGCCTCACTCAGGGAGGAGTCACTGGACTCATCATCACCCAGAAAAGTGGTGCCCCTGGAGGGACAGCCCTCTAGGAAGCTTTGGGGATATTTCAGGGCAGTTAGTAAGATCGGATGTCGGGATTAAGGAAGACACAGCTTTGCCGCAGCGGTTTGCTTTCTGTGTACAGTAGAACTGTGTGCTTAACCAGACCCTGGCAGCCTCCTATTCTCTGTCTTACTGCAGAGTTTCTGCTCGGTTGTGGCCACTCACCACTGAGCAGGGCCATCGCCCGACCTCTCCTGCCTGCCTCCGGGGAGATGCCGCACCAACCACTCCACGCCAGCCCTTGTTTTTCTAGTTTGAGGGTGCTTGTGGAGAAACTGTTCCACACTTTGCTTTTCTGCCCCTCCCCGGGCCTGTCAGTTGTCAGAGTCGGTGGGTCACTTCTATGGTTGCCCCACTTTCTTCAAATCCCTTCCACAGCTTCCTGACCACTGACTATCACAGGGTTGGTGCCCATCAGAATCTTGTGCAGCTTGATGCTGATTTGTTTTTTTTTTTCCTATTTTGGTTGAAAAACTGCCCTGATTCGCGCTCCACTCCCAGCAGCTTAGAGCCGTTCATCCAGCCTTTGCGTTTGGTCTCAGAGGGCTGCTGTGTCTTGCAGTCTGCACTGGAACTGGGGATGTGCAGGAGAGTGGGATGGAAGCACTGGTGCTGAAATGCACACCTCCAGGCCTGGGGCGGGAGGGATAGAATGGAACTGTGGTTTAGCCTGAAACGGCCTCGGGCCTGTGGAGAGGGTGGCAGCGACGCCTGCTCAGTATGGATTGATTTGGAGCTGGAGATCATGGAATTCAAGAGCAAGTGAATAAAGGGGCTGAGGAGAGGGCGAGCGGGAGGCTGAGAGGAGCCGCCTGGGAAGACCCCCATGATGTGAAGAGAGGGAGAGATGTGAGGTCATGCAGACCTCCGTGGCGGTGCAGGCCAGCTCAGGGAGGCTGTGGGTGGGCATTGGGCCTGGGGGGTAGCAGGGAAAGATGCCTGGGAGATTATGCCACACTTCCGGGCCACTGGTGAGCAAAGGCTCAGCAATGCAGTCGGAACCTCTCTTCTGCAGCCATTCTTTGTAGCTCTGCAGGCTGCCTCGGGCCTACTCTGGGGGCTTGTCTCTGGCTGTGGCTCCAGCTGCTGCCCTCCCCTCCCCTGCCTACCCGCTGCCTGCCTGCCTGCCTACCTGCCTGCCTCAACCACAGAGCCCATGTCAGCCCACTCCCAGGCAGGTGGTAAAGCCACTTCTCTGGAAATGAGGTGGACACACACTACCTCCCTCCCTCTGCCTGCCCCCAAATCCAGTGACCTGAGCTCCTGCAGCCAGAGCCTTTCCCCACCTGCTTCCTTAGCCCCAGCAGCTCTCAGCTGGTGTGAACTGTCCAAGGGGAGGTGAAGCCTGTGCGGGCAGGACGGCAGGAGGCGGAGCCCTGTTCTCAGCAAACTGCTCCTCTTGATTTGATAGGGATCCGAGGCATCGGCATTGTTAAAGAGTGGGGCGACGTTTTTTGTTTTTTCGTTGGAATCTAGGACTCTGTGACTTCCCATTCTTCCTTCTCATTCTCTGTCCGCTCTTTAAAGCCTGGATGAAGCCCTCACCCTCCACGAAGCCCCCTTCGTCCACTCCAGCCCTCCGTCACCCCAGTCCTCTGGCAACATAGAGCATTTTCTGCAGCCCGTGTTCATTTAGCTTTTAGCACGCTCTGTTTAGGCGTCACTCTGTTTTACTCTCTAAGAGTTCCTTAGGCATCTTTTTCTGTCTAGCAAGGTGATAAACTCCTTCTGCCCTGCCCTTCCTGACTTGAGGGATAAATGAAGGGTTGTGGGGGCAATCGGGGAAGCTGGCCTACATGCTACCTGCCTGCGTATGTAATGGTGGCTGATGGTTCAATATGAATGGGTACTGAGTAAGCCTGGTACCTGCTGGAGACAGCAATGACATTTGCTCTCACAACAGATGACAGGGTGATGGCAGGCATCTCTGGATGGAAGCGATGAGACCCCCGAGGTGATGAAGGAGTTAGACCGGGCACTTATAGCCCTCAAGGGACCAAGGGAATGTAGAGAAGGCTCAGGCACCCCAGGGTGGGGGTTGAGGGAACCAAGAAGAGGAAAGTCTGCTCAGGAAGGGTGTAGGCTCGGACACTGTAGGGACAGATCCAAGAGGCTTCCTGAGTCAGACCTCTCATCTGAATTGGACAAGATGAGAGCTTTGGGGTCGCTGCTTTGCATATGAGACCATGGGGACATAGAACCCATTGTCATCCCTGCCAGCTCAGCTCAGGGCACAGAACTGAGGAGGGAAGCGGTCAGGTTTGGGGTACCGGGGGAGAAGGTAGGACACCCCGTCCAGGGCCTGGAGCTGGGGTCCATGGCCAGGCTCTGGCATGCCTGGAAACGGCACATCCCAGGTGGTCGATAAAGACCTGTGGGATTGAACTAAACAACGAGGGATTCATAGATTATCCTTAGCATTGTCTTACAGTTTAAGGAGGGGACAGAACAGAGTGGGAAGTGGGGGAGAGGAACTCAGATGTGATTTTAGCCAGGGCTTGGTTTAAGCTGTTATGCTTCTTCTCTTGTGATACTAGTTTGACGGAAAGGCAGCAGGGGTGGCTCCGGGTGAGAGGATGAGGGCAGGAACCCCATCAGAGACAGGCCGGGCAGACACTGCCCAGAGAGGCCTCTCAGGAGGGCAGGATGGCCAGCCACTTCTCCCTAGGGAGGAGGCCTCTGCTCCACCCTCCATTCCTCCTCCCCTGGGCCTCTTTCCCCTTCTCCCTGTGTGATCTTATGCTCCTGCAACCGCAGGAGGTATAGACTTACTCCCAGAATAGAAACCGTCTGGCTACTCCCGAAACATTTCTTCTTCTGTGCACTACTGGCTCGTCTTTGTGCCTCCAGCTCCGCTTAGATGTCCCCCTTGAAAAGGCCGTCTCTGAGTGCTGGTGCTCCTGGGCCCACCCCCAAGTCTGCTCCGTCACACTGGTCGCCGTGTTTTCTTCACAGCACTTATCATGGTCTGGAGTTATCTCATCCATCCCTTCTCTTTGTTGGGCATCTCTCTTGCTTCCTTCGAAGGGAAGCTCCATGCGGGCAGATTCGTGGCCATTCTCAACTGTGCTGTCCCCCGAAGCTCCTAGAACAGGGCTCACATCAACAGTGCCTAATGAGTATTTGTTGAATGGATGAGTGGCTGGATGACAGCACACGGAAAGGCACCAAGTCTCATGTGGGGTGGGGTCCTAGCAAACCTCCTTGTCACTCATCCCAGGATTCCCTGTAGGGGAGCTGCTCAGTGAGGAGAGGGCCTGCTGGGCCCTGGTAGAAAATCCCTCCTGGGCCTGGGCCTGCCACTGCTTGCCTGTCACAGATGGTATGCTAAGCGGTCTGTGAAATGGGATGCAACTCCAGTTTCATTTGAGCCTGAACCTCACAGGCAGGAAGAATAAGGACCAACACTGTGTAGTCCTGCTCCCCTACCCAGCACAGGCCTGCTGCTGTTGAGGACCAGACAGTGCAGAGAGGCTCTGAGGGCCGGGGAGGGAGAGGCGTGGTCCCAGGCCTCTGGCTGGAGTGGAAAGTGCGGTGCTGTGCACAGGCAGGGCAGTTTCACCTGCTTGCCCGTGCCCCCGAGCATTTTGGGGATTTTGGATGGAGGCTTACCCTGACCCCTTTCCAGCTTTAGCACGACAGTCCCAGCTCCATTGTCTCTCCTAGCTGCACCATCACTGCCACAGCAGAGCTCCCAACACAATGAGGAGTTAAAGGAAGAGAGGCCACCTTGAGATCCCCCTCTACCCGCCAGCCCACAGGGTTCCCCCACCTCAGAGTTCAGGAAATATTGGAAAATGGAGCCAGGACTGGGGAGGGATCTTCGGGGAAGATCTTCAGAACTTCACCATGGAATTAGCTGATAACACCCATGTCTTTCTTCTAAGACATCTAAGTGCTTACCCTTTTTCTATACTCGCTAGGGACTTTGGATTGTTTCTCTTTAAGAGAGAAAATTTCTGGGCTTGGGAAAGAGGAACCCCAAACTGACACTGGTCTGAGTGGGCATATTTGGGGCTGGAGTCCTTCCCGTGCAGATGTATCTGCTGGGCAATGCTGAGCAGAATTCCACAAAGGAGAGAAAGGGCAGAGGAGAGCAGATTGCCCTTCACGTACCTCTGTGTCTTCTTTGCCTGCCCAGCCTTAGCTGGGCCCCACATCACTAATGGAAGTTCCATCCTTTTCCCATAGCATCCCCAAAGAACACTCAAATCCGAGGCTCAAGGAACCTCTGGGACTCAGTGTCTAGATCCAGGAAATGGAGAATGAGCCATGACTTTGGACGCTTCACCCTTGCCCATCAGGCTCAGAATTGGTGAGCATCTCCAATTCCGAGCAAGGTGCCCCGTTGGGGTTTCCTCTGCATGGACCAGCCATCCTCCAAACCTGCCCCCATGTCACCCCAGCTCCCTATCCCACTAACTTCTCATTCCTTGTCCCCTGTCTCCCTGAGTGACAGGGCTCCTGCCAGTTAGGCCCTGTCCTCCTTTCTGATGTTGGGTCCATTCCCCATGATCCCTTTCTTGCTCGTGCCTTGGGATCTCGGGCCAGCTCATGTAGGAGGCAGAACTCAACTCCAGACCAGACTGAAGACTGGCCGACACGGAAGAGCACTGAAAGCACCTCTCGCTCCATCAGACATGCCCACCAGCACCATGACAGTTTACCACTGCCAGGGCAATGCCCAGAAGTTATCGCCCCTTTTCTAGAAATTTCTGCATAATCTACCCGCTCCTTGCATGTGATTAAAACAGGTGTCAAGACTACTGCACAATTGTCCCTGAGGTGCTACTCTTGACATGCTGCCTACAGGGTAGCCCTAATCCACAGGGACGGGACAGTCATGGAACTGAAACGCTGCTGCCTAATGAAGCTATTTTCTTCTACCACTGGCTCACCCCGAATTCTTTCCTGGGTGAACTCAAGAAACTTCCTGGACTAAGCCCCAATTTTGGGGGCTCGTCTACCCTTGCATCACAGCTTCCTCTTCTGTTCACAGCTGCCACCAGCTACCCACCCTTCTGAGGTTCCTCTCCCTGCCCCTCGACAGCGGCTGCTGATGGGAGCTTTTCTGCTATCTCCCAGTCAAGTACAGAGGCCTTGTGCCACTTAAAGGAGACTCAGCTAAGAACAGAGAAGGGGATAGCATAAGGATATTTCAGAGATTCGAGAAATCTCAAGAGTGATCACAAAACATTTGTCTCTGACCAACCAGAAACATCGATGGGTGGGAAGGGCATCTCCTCTAGGTGGGTTCCTCGTGGGTCTTCAGGCTCTTCTTCACTTTGGATTTTCTGGAGTCTCCTGAAGGTTACCTGAAATCTTGTTTGTCCTAAATATTGTATGTGGATTCACAAGCTGCAAGAAGTCAGTGGGGCTGGATGGGGGCCAAAACCAGAGGAGTCAAGCAGCACAGCTGGGCCCCGTTGAAAGTGAGGCCAGCTGTCCTAGTTGGAAGCTGGGGTGGAGAGCTGCAGATGGGTGGAGGCAGTGACAGGGTCTGGTCCATGTACTGGTCATTTAGACTCCCCAGAGCCACAGGACTCCCAAAGGTCAGAGAAGGCCTGGTGGAGGGCCTTATGCAAACCTCAGTGTGTGATGCAGGAGAGCGTTTTCCCAGCAGAAATGCCTACAAAAAGGCCTTCAAAGTAGGGACCCATGGGGACCCATCTTGCCTCCTTACGGTCTGGTTCACAGGAGACTTAAAGGAGACTAGGTGGGGCTAATGGAATCCAAGCTAGGGTTTCTGACTGCAAAAGTCTTCAGAAATGCTGTTTTTGTAAGGATCAGCGATTATGTTTTCTGAGATGCAAAATATCCTTGTTAAGGGGTTAACAGCTAAAGCTGTTCAGGTTTCTGGGGATGCACAGGCTTAGGAAATTAGAGAAGGTGAAGTTGAGGGGGATGGAAACTAAGAATTAGCTCAAAACAGTCACCAATGCAGAAACCTATCTGTGGCACTTTGGCCCCTGACAGTGGGGAAGGCAGAGGAGTGATGGTGGGGACTTGGGTACCCTACTAGCAGAATGGGGTAATAGAGAGGGCAAGAATTGCTTCCCAGGAGGCTAGGGTGGGAACAGGAAGGGGACTAAAATGCTGCCTCTGGCTGAAGAGTGTGGCGGTACAGAGGAGCTGGTGGCAGGGCTCTGAATCCATACGTAAGAGCAAGGAACGGGTGGTTTTGGTGTGGGAGAGGGCTTTGATGTCTTCATGGACTTAGGGTAACATTCACCATATGGTGGACCAGCCAGCTTCCATGTGAAGAAGCCATCTAGGAGCAAGGGAACAAACCCAGGAATACAGGTGGAGAGAGAGGTGGCCTGACATTATGGCTAGGTTGATATGGAAGCTTCTGGTTTGTTCTAGAAAGAATGAAAAAGGCGGTGCAGATAATCATCAGCTCCTGGTTCTGTATGTAGCAAGCGTTTGCTGCAATTCCAGGAGGTAGCAACCCAGGCTTTGCTTCTGAAAGAAGAGGATTGACCTTCCTGAATCATCTCTAGGAGTCTGCTGAGGGCCAGGCTTGGTGAGTGTTGGGAAAAGCAGCAAAGGAGAAAGGACTTACAGAGCGTCTACATAAACTGGTTAGGAGTAACACATAAACAAGGAACAACAAACTGCAGAAGGCCTCTGAGGAGGAAGGCCTCTCCATGCCTCATGTTCCAGTGCAGGGTGACCTAGGCTGTGTTACCATAAACATTGTGCCCAAGGACCTAAAACCCCTTCGTAGCACTATGACGTAGCCAGACTTGTAGGCTCCTTGTAAGGCCCGAGTTCCATCAGCTGTACACAGATAATAAGCCAAAGATAACCACGTGTTCTTGTTTTGTGAAACTTATAAACCACCACTGTTATCAATCCTTGGGATGTTGTCAACCAGTTCCAGTTCACTGATTCACTTCTGGCTCACTGATTCACTCCACTTGTACCCTGTAGATCAAAGTGATTGTAATCAATAAATAGTGTGGATGATCAGAGCTCAGGGCCTTCGCTATCTCTTCCAGAGTAATAAAATGATGGCCCCTGGTCCCACTTTCTCTCTTAATTTGTCTTTTTCTCATTCCTTTGTCCCACCGAACTTGGGGTACCCACAGGTGACATAGGGCTGGTTCCCTACAGGTGAGTTGGATGCTGTATGGAATTTTTACGTAAGTGAGGTCTGGGTAGGAAAAGGGAAGGGAAAAGCTGGCTCTGCCTGCATCAAGGGATTCTGGGAAGGAAAATAAAGAGAAAACTCTTTCTTAAGTCTTCCACTTCAGAGTGGGAGAACCATCACAAGCTAAGTAAAGTCAAATGAAGGGCAAGTGCCCTATGGCCACCTGGACATGCACCTGCCCCTTGGCCACCTTGCATGGGCAGGCTGAGAAGGTCACTGAAGCTTAGTTTTCCTGACCTACCCTGATTCCACGTGCTGTAAGCAGCACCCAGAAGGCTGTGTGGCTACAGAGGTGCCCAGCATGGTGGGCACCAAGTCCACCAAGGTCACTTCAGTGTGGACACTAGACTGGACCACGTGGAACCACAGCCAGCTTTAGAGCACCAGCCAGAGTGTTATTCCAGCCAGAAGGAGGAGCCACAACCCCGCACCTAGGAGGACAACAAGCCCTACTCTGCAGGCAGGAGCCAGCCACACCTGGGGCCTGGGGAGATGCTTCCTGATTCCAAATGGGATTGAACTTCAAATGAGACTAGACATTTGGGCAATTTTTTAAAAAATCTGTCAATCAAATAAAGGCATGCCATTTTCTTTATGCAGCCATTGTGTTGGTTAAAGGTTGCAGACCTGCCTGCCCCGCTGTCCGCCATCATTATCAGGGGATGTAGCTCTTTCAGCTCCAAGAGGCTTCCATGGCTGCCAGCACCCCCTGCTCTTTTACAAGGTGTTGACAGGGTCTTTAGTGTTGAGAAACAGGGAGCAAAGTGCTGACATTGACCCACCCCACAAACATGGCCCAGCCCCAACCAGGTCTTGGGCTGTAAGTCCTGTGCCCTGCCAGATGGGCTAGGACCCAACTCTCTGGTGGATCAGCCAAACGTGCACCTCTGGGCTTGGACTCCAGAGGCTGAGCCTGGCTCACGCCCCCCGGTTCACGCCCCCCAGCTCACGCCCCCCAGCTCACACCCCCCAGCTCAGGGCCCAGGTGATCCCAGGAGGCTGTGTCAGGGGACTGCCTCCTCAGGGTCAGGGGACGAGCCTTTTGGGCAGTGGGTTTCCATGGCAGCCCTCAACCAAGGGCAGTAGGGCCAGACAGGAGAGAGTCAGAGATCACACACTAACCCCTTCCTACAGAGCTGGGGAGAACTAATGGAGTCTGAATCCAGACTGAGGGTTACAACATAAAATAACAGAGGCTCATAGAGCCTGGGAACCTCCTGACTGGGCTCCCGGCCTAGGACTGTGCCTGGAGTGGGGTCTCCAGAGCAGGGATGATGGCACAGGTGTGGGGGTGGTGGGAAGGAGATGCCTCAGGTCCACAGTGGGGAGCCAAGACATCCCAGGAGGGTGCAAAATATCTCCCAGGGCTTGCCCCGTGGGCCGGCACAGCAGCCATGCCCATTGCTATATGAAGGTAGGCAGTCCAAGGCTGGGGCCCAGGCCATTGGGACCCCATCCATCTTTCTGCTCTCCTTAGGGTGTCACCTCCATCTTTGTGGTCACAAGTGTTGACATTCTGCAATGCCCATGTCCAGGGGAAAGAGATAGAGGCCAACAGGCAGACTGGGCCCTTTTAGACCTGGCACCTTCTGCTCACATCTCCTCCACCAGCACCACCTTGGGCATTTCCTGTGTGCAGTCACTACAGATGGCCAGGGAGGAGGGGTCCTGGGCACAGCACCCTGGCCACGTCTTTATACAGCTGCCTCCCCCATCAGCTTTTCCCCAGGCCTCCTTGTCCCCTCCTCCTTCCCTGAAAGGCCCCTCACTTTGGGAGCAGAGTCGTGGCTTTACCAACCTTCCTGCCAATTGGGCTGTTACTGTGGATTCAGAAGGATAATCCCTGCCATTAAGAGGGGGCCATGCTGTGCGGTGTTCCAGGCTGGGGCTGCGCAGGGCATTGGCAAGCACAGAGGAGAGGAGCAAATCCCAGCCTAGAGGGGGCAATGGGGGGAGGTAGAGACATCTAAACTAAGACCTCAAGGGTGGACAGGAGTAAGCCAAGTGAACGGACCCGGGAGGACAGCGGATGACACCAGGAGCTGGGAAGAACCAGCTGGGGTGTTGCCTGGAGAATTGGGGGCCAGGCAGGCCTGTGTACACAGGGCTCTGTGGGCCCAGCAAAGAGGAGTGAGCAGAGGCAGGATCTGGTGTGGGCTGGAGAAAGGGCTTGGCCTGCGGATGGCACAGGCCAGGCTGCAGGCAGAGGGCCGATTAGGAGACCATTTCAGTTATAAGGCAGGGATGACAGAAGCTGAGCTCAGAAAACTGCATTGGAGACAGGCTTGGAAAACAGACCCCACAAGGCTTAAAGGTTGATGAAGAGGTAGAGGTGGCTAGTGAGAGACGGAGAGAGACAGACAGACATGGGGAGAGAGATGGACAGAGACAGAGAGAGAAGGCTAGCCGGGAAACCGGTGCACCGGGGTAGCTTGCGCGGTGGGAGAGGATGGAGGAAGGGGAAAATTCTAAGCAGAAGAGGCCATGTCCGTTTGCAGAGGCTGCATATAAGACCCTGGAGGTCCCTGGGGAAGAGATGGAAGATGTGGGTATCTGGCCCAAAAGCCTGGAAGGGTCCCTGAAGATCCAGCCACCACCTAGTTATGC